GTTTCCGCATAGTTTCAGTTTTGCGGAAACTAGACTTTTCATCCAGTGTGTTTTTAGTTGAGTCATTTTCAATTTGAGAAACAAATTTGGTAGACTGTGCAGCACGTCTATCAACACTTCGTAATTCCCACTTGGCAATATCAGCATATGAAACGGGTACTTGACGCTGATCGTTTTCTACCCTTCCTTTACCACAAAGTATTGTTGGAAATGACAAATACTCAGCCATTTGATCTTGATACAAACTACGTGGACGTTGTCCCTATTCTGGAGCAAATGTGAGGATCTGATTCATATCATACGAGTCACTGTCTAGTAATGTATCACAATTTCCATCCTTACCACTACTATCAACTTCACAGATTTCATCAGAGTCTGATTCATCTGATTGGTCATGCATTGTTAAAGCTTGATTGTTGTGGCCCTCTATAAACTCTCTCATTAATTCGCTTGCTGAATTGGTAACCTCATGGAACCAGTTGTCATCTATGTTTATGTTTGAATTCTGATAATATTCACTATTTTTCATTAACCAATGTAAAGCAATCAAAACCTTTGTCGGTCTGATATTTTCATGACAATAAGAATGCTGAAAAGATAGTTTTCTTTTTAGCTTCACAGGTATTGTGATATTTTCATCAAGTCTCCTGGGAAGACTATTGCTTGTTGGTTGTATGTCAACTGGCACATTTACAACATTTCCTTTTACAGAATACTGCCCTCCTCTTGGTAATTCTCTTATCTGCATGAAAGGAATTCTTAAGGATACAAGTTTTTCTTCCAATGGTAACAAATTTAGTTCACTTGGTTTCTGTATCCATGTCATTCCATTTGCAAAAGAGAGTTTTGGAGTTCGCCTTTCTTTTAAGCTTGAATTGCAGGTATTGCATATCCATTCCTGCCCATTTACAGACTTTGTATTAGTAAGATACTTTCTCTTGATTTCAGCATCCAACAAAACATTATCAACATTTGAAACACTTTCATGAAACCATGTCTGTTGGCAACATATCCAGACAAACACAGGACACAATCTTACATTGTTGTGAAAATTGTCAACACATTCCACTACATCAACTCCAAATTTACTTTTTCTGTATCTTTGTTTTTCAGTTTCAATATAGTCAAAATTCTCCCACGAGTGTGCTTTTGATTGTTTTGCAGCAATATTTTCTGATGTTCTATATTCTTCATTTTTTCTTTTTTCTTTCTTCTTCAATCTCTCTTTTTCTAACTGGTTAGGATTTTGTCTCATTTCCTTTTTTTTTCATTAAATCTCTCATTTGCTCATCATGCCTGTACTTCTTCATGCCTTTTAATTCTCTTACTGTTCCTTTCCTTGTTTTTAAATTTTGCATCTTGTCGCTTTTTCTCATACTGTCTCTTTCCTTGTCTTTAAACTCTGGATCTTGTCGCTTGTTTCGCTTGCTGTCCCTTTCTTTTCCTTTAAACTCTGGATCTTCTCGCTTGTTTCTCATACTGGCTTTTTCCTTGTCTTTAAACTCTGGATCTTGTTTGTTTCTCATACGGTCTCTTTCCCTGTCTTTAAACTCTGGATCTTGTCGCTTGTTTCTCATACTGTCTCTTTCCTTGTCTTTAAACTCTGGATCTTGTCGCTTGTTTCGCTTACTGTCCCTTTCTTTTTCTTTAAACTCTGGATCTTGTCGTTTGTATCTCTTACTGTCCCTTTCCTTGTCTTTAAACTCGGGATCTTGTCTCTTGTTTCTCATATATTCTCTCATGTAATCCTTTTTGTCTTTCTTTAACTCTGTTTTTAAGTGACCAGTTTTACTACCAACAGATTGTTTATTTGTGATGGCAGTTGTTGTTGACTTATCTAATCTACAATATTGATGTACACTTTGATTATTGCTTTGGAAGCTATGAATAAGTGTATGAAAGGCAACAGACATCACTTCAAATTCAGTTGCAAATTCAATGTGCATACTTTCATACATTGCATACAGAAATCCTAACAAATCATCTAAGCAGCAACAGTGTCTCATCAGAGACTTTCCATCACAATCAGACAAACCATTTTCCCCATGAGAATGCGAGTCAAAAAAATAATAATCATTGTCTGAAGCTTTATACAGTGCTGAACATATCGAGCCAATCATTATTAATACATATCGAGATAACCCCAATGCCTGTTGCAGACATTCATGTAGAGTTTGAAATTGATTTTTGTTATCAGCTGTAACTAATATGCCAAACAGTGTTTCAAACATATCAACCATGTGGTGAATTTCACCAGAATCAATATGAATTGGTAGTTCATCAAACATCAGTAATCTACTTTTCAGTTTTCCAGCATTCTGAAGATTCTTAACAACTGTGTTGTACAAATTATCTCCCTTGAGTAGAGTCTGATCTAAAAAGGAACTAGTGAATGAAAAATTTTCATATGAACTTGTCTACATCATAAGTGAATTACATATACACTGATTACCTCTAGAAAATGATGAAAACCTCATGTTTCCCTGATGGAAAGACACAAACAATAGATTATCTGAATTCTGATGCAGACAATTACCTTGCAGTGCATGTGATGTGTTGTTTCATTTGGAATAATGTTCATTGTAAATTGAGTTATATTCTGAGTTGTAATCTGAGAGATATTCTGAGTAAGCAACTGAGACTAATTCTGAATAAGCAACTGAGATGAATTCTGAGATAAATTCTGAGATAAATTCTGATTCAAAGTGGTCTCAGGGAGAGCCGCAGAGACCACTGTCACAGGGGTGGTAGAGATCACCCCTGCCGGTTTAGATGTCATAGGTGTTAGGACGTGGCCTACACCCAGAGGCACAGATGGTTTGACGTGGCCAACATCTGTGGGGTACTTGTCACCCACATCTGCCTTACAAGATTTCGTCTTCTTCATAGCAGCTTTCTACCAAGTCTTCTTTCTAGGCATCCTGTGATCTACAAAAAAAATAAAAATGTTAAAATCTATACTTTAAAGGATTGATTAGAGTAGTATATACTTGATAGTTGATACATAAACACATTCTGAAATTAACAATGCTGCCATCACTGACACTTTAAAAATTACATGTAAAACATAAGCCAACATTCATTGAAAGATGGTCCTTTGGATGAGACAGTATAAACGGAGTTCCTGTGTTTAAAAAATTCTCTCCCTGCTCAGTGGCCCCTAGTGCCCAGTACAGAAGAGATTTTGGAGCTCCCCACCGGTAAGTGGTGGAGTCTTCATATGAGTAAAAAATCTTGAGACGTTAAACAATATGCAATTATTTAAAGAGGGATGCAAGTTACATGTAATTGGTCAACCATTTTCACATAAAACTTACCTTTAATTAAGATGTGTCACTCATTTCCAAAATTTTTATGCACCATATAACACTGTATAAATTTATCCAACATTTACTGGCAAACAGTTTTGCTTTAATCATCCAAATAACAAACATGTACCTAACTTTTGTGGTATTTCATAAAATTTGACAGATTATTTTTTTCAGGAAAAAAGCTCTACTGTTTTGAACTTATAACAAAGACACTTGGAACTGATAAAAGTTACATCTTCTTAAAAGTATATCATAACTCAATATCAAAAGTCATGACAAAGATTTTCATATTGCATAATCCCACTCCAAAAAGTCTTGTCACAAGTATGGTAAACCTCAACAAAGAGCCTGCTGAAATTTCAAGCATTGTGATGAATAGTGCTGAGAAAACTGTGATGAAAATTTGTTTTGTATGGTATGAACAGATAATCAGGAAGTTGAAATCAGATTTGACTGAATATTGAATGAAACTAAGGTGCAACTTAAAAAAAAATAAAAATCAATACTAAAAAATATGCATTGATCACAAATTATGTACTTATTCTTACAGCGACCTTAAACTTGTCCAAATGATCCTGGGTCAAGGTCATACATGTAGCACACCATCAGGTCACAAACAATCTTTGAGTAAATAGGAACTCACCAAGTTTATCCATAATAAAGATATGGACTGCACACGAATTATGAATTTTTCTTTTAGCGACCTTAAAGGGATAGTCTCTAAGGTTCGTTCAAACAAAATAATATACTTTTTTCTGTATTTGGTATAACAGACCCTGTCAAATTATTTAGATCTGTCAAGATTTGCACACAACAGAGTGCCTTACATATCACTTATTTAATAAACAAACTGCCGGGATGAATTTTTATCATCCACACAAAAATTCGGCTTTTATCTTTGCTCCATTCACGAAGACCCCTGCTGACCCTCCTCGTAAAACAAACTGCGCATCCCTGACCGAGGTCAAAGTAGCCGAAGATGTTGGAGGAGAAGAGATCAACACGTGGGAGAAAACGATCTTTAACAGATTCAGCAAGAAAACGAAACAGAACTTCAGTTGTGTCAAAATACAATCAAGGCAGAATAGCTATAGCCCAGCAGGCATTTCAACGTTGATTCAACGTTGAATCAACGTTGCACTTCAACGTTGAATCAACGTTGAATTTTGGTTGCATATGAAAGTTGAGGCAACGTTGAAACATAACGTTGTTTCAACGTCAATTTTCAACGTTGAATAAACGTTGAAAATAGGTTGAATTTTTGGTTGATTTATGGTTGATTTTTGGTTGCAAATAAAAGTTGATGCAACGTTGAAGCTTCAACGTTGTTTCAACGTCAAATATCAACATTGAACAAAAGTGAACATTGGTTGTAATTAGGTTGAGATTTGGTTGAAATTTTTTGGTTGTACAAACGTTGATATTTGGTTGAAATCACGTTGAATTTATATTACGTTTTACTTTATAAACAAATACATTTCAAATTCTAATAATTTTTTTTATTCAAGTTGCGTAATATTTATATAAGTTATAATCCAGTATAACGATTGTGAGAGAATTCACTTTAGTTTGTATTTTAAAGAAAAACACAAATTTGGATTCAATCGCTGAATCTCAAAAATCACTGCCTGACAAGATTTATATTCCTAGTGAAAAAAGGGTCACAGTTATCACATCAAAATTCTTCAAAGTACGCGTCTGTCTTACACTACTAAGTTCCACAAAGTGGCGGATCCATTGATTTTGATCACGCATATATATCTGTAGTTAAGTCCCACGAATGAAAGAAATGAACAGGAGAATCCACCCTCTAGAGCAAAAGCCTATTAATAAAAGAAATAAAGATGTGAAAGAAATTTGTTCGATACAATGTACGTAACACGTTATTTCAAACGATATTAAATATACATGAATAATTTAAAAAATCAGACAAAGGAATATTTTCCGGTACTTGAATTTAATTAACATGATTATTAATAAAAAGAATTATAGTTAACTTCATATTAAAATTCGTATTAGTATGCTTAATTGCTTATAAAAAATTATTACTAAAGAAAATGTTATAGACATACATAGACATCATGGACATAGTGTACTTACAAAATGTTGCATTCCTTTGTATAATTTTCACGGGCAAAGAATCTGATGCAATCAAGGCGGACTATATACAATCAATTCCCTGCACCACTGGTTGATTGAACCATACGATGAACTACAATTAATTTTAAAAATTGTATAATATATTAGTATACTTATATTTCATTGTTGCTGATGCTGAAGTGGGTCTGCCAATGTTGTTTTGATTTGCTCGGCGACCCACGAATATTATTGCCACGACAGTACTCGCCACATACAAATAAATAATAGTTAATTTTAGTGTTGTTGAATTTTCTCTATATAAATAAATTAGTATACTTATATTTCATAACCAAATGAATATTTACATTACACATAATACACGAACCAAGGATGTGCATTTCACGTAGATTTTACATATACTTATAAATCAAGAATTAAATGATGTACAGAAACTAAATAAACTTAATTTCTTAAATCCATGAAAAGGAAATAATACTTACTGAGCCGAAGTTGATATTCCAGACTTAATCCTTGTGTATGTAGCTTGAAAACACATTAAATATGAACAGCATGGAGACGCGCACTTCTTGTCCATCAGTTGAATTCAAATTTTGACCTAGATAAGCTGCAGCTATACTCTGCCGAGCAAGAAAATTGCATAACAAGGTTATCCTGACACTGAAACTGACCAACTAAGCGAGAGGCACTCCTTATCTGATATCTCGAAGGTTTTGGGGGAGTGGATCTTAAGTAATGCTATTTGACCGGGGTAAATTGTCAGTGTGAAAATTGTTATGTGTTTATTTGAATTATTCTTTTAAATATGTTTTATGAAAAAAAGATTATAGAATTAATACACACAACAAAAGCACAATCTGATAGAATAAGACTTCTTAGATTCGCTCGATCTGTATAACATTTTGCGCAAGAGTATACGGCACGGATCTATATGAGTCTAATTTTAGGAACATTAATTTGGAATAAATAATTATTTTTATTAATTCTAAAGTAACATGGAATTAAAGTGAGATGTTGGATAAAGATGTCATTTATTTATTAAAAGCTTATATCTAACATATTTTATAAATATGTAAAAAAAAATGCATTCATCTATTTATTAAATTTAACAAAGATACTAGCTGAACTTGCACAACTCTTTTGAGTAAATCAATTCATAATGCATGTGTTTCATTTCATATTATGTATAATTATATATATATATAATATTTTCTAACAATGCATACAACTGTGTGTATCTTGCGAAAAATCGCATAAATTAAGAGTTAAAGACACCTTTGTATTTTGACCTTAAAAACTAAAATGCTCAATACTCATTGCGCATTTTTTTCCTAACTTTCCTAAAGTTGAAAATATATTAGATCTTCCACGTTGTTTCAACGTTGAAATCAACAAACAATCAACTTTGCATTATAAACCTTGTTTCAATTCTATAATATCAGAAAATACTCAACGTTGAAAACGTGTTGAATCTTCAACGTTGTTTTAACATTGAAATATCAATAAACTTCAAACGTTGAGAATTTGTTGCAGCTTCAACATTGTTTCAACGTTGAAATATCGACAAGCATTCAACGTTGAAAATATGTTGCAGCTTCAACGTTGTTTCTACGTTGAAATATCAACGAACATCAAACGTTGAGAATATGTTGCAGCTTCAACGTTGTTTCAACGTTGAAATATCGACGAACATTCAACGTTGAAAATATGTTGCAGCTTCAACGTTGTTTCAACGTTGAAATATCGACGAACGTTCAACGTTGAAAATATGTTGCAGCTTCAACGTTGTTTCAACGTTGAAAAAAGGTTGAGGATTCAACGTTGAAACCTCAACGTTGAAACAACGTTGAAATATAGTTGATCAACGTTGCAATCTATATTCCACCTCCTTTCAACGTTGAAACAACGTTGCGTGCCTGCTGGGAGGTGGTCAATATGATCGTTGGATGGAATTAAAAGAGACGCTGCAGCTTAAAACTCATGCCGATGTAGCAGAGTACCTTCTTGATCGGTAAGTAATATAATGTTTATTTCCACAAAAACTGCTTAATAAATCTTGACTTCAGTATAGGTATTTAGAAGTAGAAATGAGTCTTTTATTTTTATCTAAAACTGCAATATTTTAGAGAGAAAATGGGGATTAAGCCGATTAACAAATGTAAACAGTATGTAAACAAACTGGGAAAGTTGATGGGGCCCCCAGGGGGTACGCTTTCTTTGTTTAGCAAATGCTATAGGGATTAACAAAAGATAAACCTGCTGCTTTACTAATTTTGTTTGTGCAATAATAAATATGATGCTATATAAAGTATTTTAGATAAAATTGCTGACACTACATTGAAATTAATTAAGAATAATGAACCAATATGAACATAAATGTCTATATAGGAATGAAACCTTGACGTTTGAAAGTTCTCCCAAGAAGGTTAAAACTGCATTAAGTGCAGTGACATCAACACCGGGACCAACAGCGACCATTCTCCCACCCAAATTTTCAGATGTGTCTGAAATATCTTCAGATCAAGACAAGGGGGGCAGGTAAATTAACAAGATTGGCAATTAGAATAAAATATTCTTTAAAATTTGAGTAGTATCTAGACCTTATATCACCATTCTTGAAAGATATATTTAATATTATGTTTCTACTTTAAGAAATTCAGATTTATCTGGTGTAGAACAGTTTGTAAAAACTGATAAGAAAACAACAGCTCCAAGCAGTTTCTTGAATCCTTTAGAGTAAGTACAATTATTTAAATCATAGGTATAATATAAAAATTATTTCCATTATTAAGTTATAAGGTTTGATATGCATGCCATCAGAATACTTTTAAATAATATTTGTTATTACTGATTTATGTCATTGTATCTATTATATCAGAATAATTATCATAATCCATGTTGATCTTACAGAAATTTTGTTTTGCAGTCTCTCAATCTGCTTATCAGAAAACTACACCAACGAGGACTCAGAGGATTCATCAGATGAAGATTATGAGCCTAGTTTCATAATGACCATGAGGTATGTTTTGCACGGACACCTTGCGGCTATGCCAGTAAATTATTTAATTTATTTTCATATTTCAATATTTTAAATCTACTGACTAACATTAGAATTATTAATAAAATTTAATCCCTGTCATAAGAGAGGACACTCAGACTGAAGCCATGGTTGAGGACTCTGAAAATTAGGATAGCTGTGATGAGGAATCAAATGATGATCTTCGCCCCGGGTTTGCCTAAATTTTAACTCCAGAAGAGATTGAGGGCTGTAAGGAAGAGCGCCCTTTCCTTGTTTATCTTTCACAGCTTCACACATTAGCTGAATTACGTGTCCTACCAGATTGTCAGCTTAAAGGATGCCAAAAATCAGTGCATTTGGAGAAAACTGTTGTTGGATCGGCACTCTATTTCAAATGGGTACGTACGAAAACTGCCTTGTAATCTCATGTTTTAATAAAATACCAAGGTACTATGAATTGGAAACAGATTAATAAATTATCATATGGTTTATTTATAGAATTGTTCTGATGGACATCAATCTCAGCAATGGTGCTCACAGCCTGTCCTAAACAGAGGAATGCATTTAGGGGATTTGACACTCTCCTCTTCCATACTTCTCTCTGGAAGCAATTTTCAGAAAGTGTCAATGATGGCTAAATTCATGCAACTACCTATTGTGAGCAAAAACTCATTTTATAAAATGCAGAGAACATACTTGATTCCAGCAGTGGATGACTTTTGGACAGAACACCAGGAAACTGTGTTTAACCAGTTTCAAGGAAGAGATCTTACAATACTTGGTAGATATCTTTTAAATTTCAAAACAGACTTTATGGGAAAAAACTTTATGAAAAAATGCTAAAACGTGTAGCATTATTGTCTTAATTTTAACATAAGAATATTTTTTCTTTTTTTCATTCGTGTTTATTTTTTTTAATTAAAGGAGATGGCAGAATGGATAGCCCTGGTCACACTGCTCAGTACTGTTCTTATACATTCATGGAGTATGACACCAAAACCATTCTGCATATAATCACTATGGACAAGCGAGTGACAGAGAAAAAAAGCACAAATCTGGAGAAAGATTGCTTTGTTCAGGGCTTGCGATATCTTCTGGACAAGGGACTTCATATTGTTGAAGTTGTTACAGATGCTCATGTACAAGTTGCTTCAGTAAGGAGTAAGTTCAAACAAAACAACCAATATATATGACTATATAATAAGTAAATCCTCTGTTAAAAAAGGCATACATGTACATACATACATGTAAATTTTTAAAAATGGTTCTTATATGTTAATTTTGCAGAAAAAGACTTCCCAGACATAAGACATTCTTTTGATATATGGCACGGGACGAAAAACTTAGGCAAGAAAATCATCAAGGTAACCTTCAGTTCCGCATAGTTGTATACATGCAGTGTTATTTATATATAAATATTTAATCTTCGCTCAACAAACTATAGTTGCATAATCTTTTTATTATATATATATTTTTGTGCAGTGTGTTTATTCATATCTTCTAGGCAGGTCAGCAGAAATCCCAAAAAGCTATCCTGTCATGGACAAAAGATGTTGTCAACCATTACTGGTACACAGCTAGCATCTCAAACACAAAGGAGGAGTTTGTTGTAAGTTTCCATATACCAAAAAATATATGTAAACTTTGCAAAAGTGCTGCATGTGATTATATAAATTGGTCTAAAACGAATTTTACTTTTCAAGGGGAATTGGATAGGAATCCTCCATCACACAGTTAATGTTCACACATGGGTTTTACCCTATAGTGACATTAATGAATGCAACCATGGACCACTGACTGAAGAGAGAACAAAAGCGTGGTTAGAAAAGGATTCTCCAGCACATGTGGCTCTTCGGGAAATTGTGTTAGACAAACGTCTCCAGAGCAATGTGCCTTACTATCTTAACTGCAGGTCAGTTTTATATCAGAATCAATAAATTTAGATTCTTTTATTACATTGCTAAATAACAACAGTATGTCTAATAAATTATTAATACATTCTTGCATTTTATAGGAGCACAGCAGAACTTGAAAATTTCCAGAACGTAGTTAATGCATATGCATCCAAGCATCACTCCTACAACCCACCTTCATATAGGTGCAGGAATCGACTTGCGGCCCTTGGATCATAACCACCATATAAACAGAAACGTTCTTGTCAAGAAAGATGGAGTAACACAGTAAGCAATATATGAACACTGGCCAATATTTATTGTTGACTTCAACAGTGAGACAAAATAATATGAACAATAATACATAATGAACAAAATATTTTCCTTTCAGATATCAGAGGAGCTACAACAAAAAAGTGGAAGATGGGCAGTTCATCCTGTGAAAGAGAAGAAAAATTTTCCGTATATCCCGTCTTTGCAGGAGAAGACTCTATTGTCAAGAGTGACAGATGAAGTAGGGATGAACCAACCCGTGGTGCTGGAGGTAGATGATCCAAGAAGATTGTCATCTCATCTGGCTCCAATCCCACCCCCTCCCACTGAACAGCTTGTTGTCGAGCAGAAGTCAAGGTTTCTACAACAAGAAAGAGACAATTGACATGTCTTGAACAATCATATCTCCATCTAAAATAAAACACTTTAGAATATAAAATTTTGTTGAGTCATTTTAAACTGTTTACATGTAGCTAGGAAAATGTTGTTAACTCACTTTATCCAAGTCGTCCTCCAATGAAGCCCCTATATTGTCCAAACGCATCTGGGAACTTGTCCCTTATTCACCATACACAACAACTGGAAATCACCCTTCTATTTCTTGCACCTAGATGACCATGATGCCAGAGGATAAATTGGCGGTAGGCTGCATGTCTGTTCCCTCTGTTGATATCTGCATCAGGGGCAGCTGCAAAAATGTCTTCACGGTAACGTCGGGCAACAACCAGTACAAGGTCATCAAGGACAACCCTTTGGAAATCCTAAAAATATAATTAATAATGAATAAAGAAGGATATGGAGATTACGAACAACATTCAATCTCAAAGTCCATAGAACAATACAAAACAAAAGCAGAGCAAACATGGACCTCCAAAACATCAGAGCTGGGATCAGGTGCCATGGAGGAATGAGCATCCCCTGCTGACCGGTCATACTGCCGTGTGCTCATTGTCATGATCGTGAAATAACGTCAATTCAGTGTATAATTAATATTGAATGTTATTATATACATTTAAATTTGTAAAATTTTAACTTTTTTTTTTCATTTGTATATCAGTAAATTGAATTTCTTACTGATACAATTGAGTAGCAGTTTAATGGAGTCTGTCCACAACAGAGTTTTTCAATTTCGGATGGCATCTCTCTGCAGTGGTTGCAGGTACACCAGCTTGGTATGCCATCTGACGGTTGTGGGTGGTACCCTTGCCTCCTTTCATTTTGGGAAGCCTCATTCAAAATGTCAACGACAAATGTTGGGTCCCTGTTACATATAGCTTGAACAAGGTTCCTCGTTATCCTCCTCAAGATTAGATATGGTTTCCTAGAATGATTATACTTTTATAATAAATAATTCATATATACATGAATATGTGAATTAACAGGCCATAAATGAGTTGTATATATACCTTGTATATGCATGAATGAAGGTTATTTTGACTAATTAACTTGTACAATTTTACCCTAAGATGAGCATCTCGCTGCTCCCTTTCAGCTGCAAGTCTTTCAGCAACAGTTTCTTCGGCGATTCTTCTGCGGGCACCTACTCCTCTTCCACCTCGCCCACCTCTTGTCCTAACTCCCCTCGGGCGTCTTCCTCTCCCACGCCCTCTGCCTCTTCCTCTCCCACGCCCTCTGCCTCTTCCTCTCCCACGCCCTCTGCCTCTTCCCCTCCCCCTTCCCAAATCTGAAGAGGATGAGGATTCTGGGGATGAAGACTGTCTTGATAAATTGATATTCTATAATAAAAATTATACATTTGTATTATTCATTCCATAATAAAAATTTTTATTCATAAAAATAACATACATGTTCATGAAATCAATACCTATCAAAAACGCATGATCTTCAATTACTTAATATTTTAAACATTAAAAATATGTCAAAATCTCCATACTTGCAATTATTTTAATTCAGTTTTGTTAACATAGGTAAGTAGTATAAGCCGTCTAGATGGGTGGGTCAACTGAGTGCACTTTTGGGGCTGGGGGGGATAGGTGGGTCAACGGAGTGCAGCCCCTGTGGGGGATAGGTGGGTCAACAGAGTGCAGCCCCTGGGGGATAGGTGGATCAACAGAGTGCAGCCCCTGGAGGGGATAGCCGGGTCAATTCATTACATATAGCCCCCTAAATACGGGGGTGTTTACACTGTGTTTACATTTTACACTACGCTGCTACTACGATTCATAACGCTGCTACTACGATTTTGGCAGCGACTCAACAATTTGATTATGACGTCACGCATTCATTCACAGTCAAAAGCTCAGCCTAGCCAGCCAGCCGGTTTAAACTGGATTTTCCTCAAAACAATAACAAATAACAAGACAAAACAAAGAACACAGCAATTTTATTCAGGTAAAAAAATACAATCATTTACTTTTTCTTCTTCTGGGCCTTTTCGGTCATCAGGGATAGTTTTCTCTTTTGAGTAGTGCTAGGGCCTGGAATCTCTCTGTTGTCTTCCTTTTTCTCTTTTTTTTTGTCTCCTTCTTTCACTAAAGGTTTGGTCTGGTGGGTCCCTGAGATCTTGGGTTCTTGAGGCTTTTTCTCCAGTTTTTGTATTTCTTTGACAAATTGTTGATCCTCCTCATCCTCTGTACACTGATTAGCCCAATGGCCAAATTTCCCGCACTTGTAACACAAATCTTTCTTGGGGCAATCTGGGGCCCAATGCCCTAATTCTTTGCAGATGAAGCATGGATCCGTCTGTCTAGTTTTCTTTTTTTCTCCCGATTCCCCTTGTCTAGCTTCTTTTTTCTGGTAAGTGCTTCCTCCTCCTCTCATTTTATCTTGCATGTTAGTAACTTTCACTTCTAATTTGGATAATTTGGCACGAATCAAACAAAATTCACTGGCGTTGTAAGTTTTCAGATCAGTCAGCTTGTTGTCATGATCACCCACCTTCTCAGCAATATAATTCAGCTTGTTATCATGATGACGCACCTTCTCACCAATATAATTCAGTTTGTTGTTAAGATCACTCACCTTGTTGTTCATATCATTCATTTTGTTGTCAATACCAGCCAGCATGTTGACAATCCCATCCAGAGTTGTATTTAAGATGCCCATATCTTCTTTTTTCGCATATTCTGGAAGATTATACATGCCCAAATCTAATCCCACTGCATCCTGTGACTCTGGCATGGGGGCTCCTACATACCCTTGAGGTGTCACATATCTGGGGTTGTCTGGGGTATTCATCATTGCTTCTGCCATAATATTTTTCACGTCTGTCAAGTTCGAAATGCCAACCAAGAATGACCCTTAAATCCCAGCTCCGCTTTATATACCTGCTGTGGGGCGTGTGCATCAATACGTTTTACCTACGTTTTTTATGCTGACTACACAGGTAATTACTTGGCAGCGATTCAAGTCAGGGGCCCGTGTGCAAAAAAAAAATATGCTGACTACATAGGTAATACTTGGCACCGATTCAAGTCAGGGGACCGTGTGCACCTTTGACCTACCTTTTTATGCTGACTACACAGGTAATACTTGGCACCGATTCAAGTCATGCCAGTGTGCAAAAATACGATTTACCTACGTTTTATACGGGGGGTATAAATGAGAAGAAAAATCTGATCCTTTCTTCACAATCGACTATCATGTCAACCCTGATACACACTCACTCTCTGATTTTAGATGGGTATGATTGTTTAGTACGATGGGCACAGAACCACCAAGAATCTCTACCCCCGGAGGCAGAACAAGTATTTCAGGAAGCCAGCACTATCATGGAAACCCTTCAGGATTTGTGGTTACAATGCCTAGCCTTATCACGTCATGCGACGACCATGGGGAGACTAGCTACCATACATTTTCTATGTCGACATATGAAAACAATTCTGCCCCAGAAATGGTACGGACTGAACCTGACCCGTTATTTCGGAAAGCCTTACAGTTTCCTGACCCATCCCCAAGCGGCCAAAGTGATTTTACTGTGGCAGGACATAGATGCGATGGAGAAAGTATGTATTCATTACGGAATGAAATACCTGGAAATTTCAGACAGGCTAGGAAATCCGTGACTTTTAATACCAGCCTCAATCAAATCTACGAATTACCCCCCGAAGACCGGAGAAGTCCCTGGATGGCCCTAGTAGCGAATCGAATACGATTTCGGAGGAGAATTCGACAGTTAGAAGCTTTGTTAGTTTTTAATAAATAAAAAATCTTGTAATACTACATCACTGTTATGTTATTGTATGACGTCATAGATACACTCGGGTTCGGCCTTTCCCCCTTCAATTTTGCTTTCTCACTGTGGTGGGCGTGTTTACCAAATGGCATGATTTTCTTTTAGCCAATCACATTTGATCACATGATTGGTTTTTCCATGTTTTGCCGCGATTGAAGTATCGTCTGCTATTGTAAATAAATATAGGCCCTCCGAGCGCTCGGCTTCATTCTGTTGTTGCTGGATTCCAGAATACAGACAAAGAGAAAGAAGAAGAAGAAGAAGAAGAAGAAGAAGAAGAAGAAAAGAAGATCATGTCTGCTCATCGTCTGTTTCATGAAAACCTATACCTTATTCCAGGTAGCCAGGTCGAGCCAGTCATCATCGTCCGACGGATAGATAATGGTAGGGAAATCATGAGGATTAATATGGCTAGAATGGAAGTTAATGACCGCCGGAGAAGTCATCCCTACCAGAGAGCATCAGCCCGGTCGCAACCCCCACCACCACCACCCAGACCCTCTGCCCCACAGAGTAGCGCTCGTAACCAGGGGAGAGTTCCCCGCTGGGGATTTTCCGTGCCTACACAGCGAATAATTTGCACATTATGTCTCAGCGACGACGAAGAGAATAATTTCATTTGTTCGCGTTGCTTACAAAGACCAGCTTGTCTTCTGTGTTCCGCCAGACTCATTGACCGCCAGTTACCTTGCCCCTTATGTAGGAACTCGGAGATTATAGTACAGCCTTTGGGAAGAAGACAGGAGTTTAGAGGGGCTGAGAGTTCAGATTCCGAGGAGGAGGAGGACATGGGAACCATGGTAGAACAATTGCTAAGAAACTAGGGATCGCACTTGAAACCAAAATGAAAAAAAAAATCCAAAAAAAAATTTAAAAACCAAAAAGAAAAAATCCAAAAAGTGTTTTTTAAACAACAGCCCTTTTAAGGGCTACCCAATTGTTTCGAAAAGATGCCTTCATATACAGGCAAAAAAGAAACGTTCAGTGTGTGTCTTAGAAAAAAAAATCTTTTTTTCTCTAAAATACAGTCAAAGAAACGATTGTATCTTAGAAAAAAGAGGATCTTTTTAAAAATACAGTCAAAGTAAAAAACGAAACGTTCTGTGTGTTCAAAAAGATTACCTTCTGTACAGTGGGTAAAAACAAGAAACATTGTGTTTCTCTCAAGTTATAACACCAGGTCACTTTTTTAAAAAATGTTTATGTCTCCAAGTACGCCGTAATTTTCTATGTAAATGAGGCGGCCATTGTCGAATCTCGGCAAAGATTTTACCCCAGTGAAAAAGGCTTGTAATCTACCTTGTAGGTCGTTTAAAGTTGTTTCACATTGTTTATAATTGTGATTATGTTATCCCTCACCTATATGTTTGTCGAAAAAAGGAAACTTCAAATAAATATATAAACAATTTCGGACTCGTCAAGAAAGGTCTTAGATTTAGAAATCTAAATATATGTCACATCATGCCAAAAATTGATCAACTTAAAATTCTTTTATCAGGATATCGCTCTATGGATGTATTTGGTATCTGTGAAACATTTTTAAATGAACAAACAGACAACTGTGAGTTAGATGTTGAAGGATTTAATTTTGAGAGGAAAGATAGGTTACTGAAATCAGGGGGAGGATTAATGGTCTATGTCTCCAAAAATTTACATTACAAACGTCGAAATGATTTGAAATAGGTAATATTGAATCCATATGGCTTGAAATTAATATCCCTAATTCAAATCCACTTTTTTATTGTACCACATATAGGCCCCCATCTGCCACCACCTGCTGGGTAGAAAGTCTAACACGGGAGATAAATTGTGCATCCCGCTGTGACGATGCTGAAATTATTTTAACAGGTGACTTTAATATCGACCTGATTAAAGACCCCCCAAGGTACTGGACCTCTGCTTTTGAAGAATATGACTTCACACAGCTAATTAATGTACCTACACGAATTACAAACACCTCATCAACTCTTATTGACCATATTTATACGACCCTACCAGAAAACATATGTGAATCTGCAGTACCGTCAATTGCAATATCTGACCACTATCCTGTTTGTTTTACGAGAAAATTAAATAATAACACCAACAAATTCAAACACACAGAAATAACATACAGAGACTTTAAACGATTTAATGAACATAATTTTCTTGCAGACTTAAAGGAGGTTAATTTCCATTCATTGGAATTATTCTCTGACCCTAATGAAGCACTTAATAAATTTTATTCACTTTTTAATGAGGTATTAGATAAACACGCATAAGTAAAAACAAAAAGAGTTAAGCATGACACAAGACCTAAATGGTTAACTCAAGAAATTCTTCAAGCTCAGCACATGCGTGATACCCTCCATAAAAATAAAGACTTTGAAAATTTCAAAATATGGCGCAATAAAGTTACATCACTAATTGAAAACGCCA